CCTGGGATTCACTATATAGAAATGGCTGGTCTTGAACTCAAAAAGACCTGCCTGTATCTATCTGCCTTCCAAGGACTTCGATTGAAAGTAAATATTTCCTCTGATACTCTCTTTCTAGGTAGAACTGAAACCTGGGAAGTCTAATTTGGGATCAGTATAGTAGGCATACGTTCTGCCACAGAGAACACCAAAGTTTGAACAGACAGATCTCGAGACTGTAGTCAGAAGACAGAAGTACAAGACATTCTCATCTTTATTGGTTCTACAAAAGATGGTCTAACACTTCCCAGCTTTGTATTTCCAGTTGCATGGTGAGCAACCTTTGGCAGGTCCTAATGAGTGTTAGAATAAGTGTGTGAGTGAAAGGAGGGAGTTTTCCAGCACTTAATAGTGTGATGGAGTGAGAAAAAAAAAATCAAACGATTGAACAAAAATTCTTCTGAAGTCTGTCACAGGTGATCTGCAGGGACCAAGCTTATCCGGAACATCAGGAGCCCTTTGACTCTGAAAGCATCTGGAGAATCCATGGAAACCCCACTGGAGAAGGTCTCCAAGGGACTTGAGGGTTTTGTGTAACATACTAAAAATAGAGTGCCAGTAAATCCTATGAGGTGTGTATTTCAAGAATAATTTATGTGCCTTGAAAGTGTTCAGTCTTGTGTTGTTTTTAATTTTTATTTGACAATTATACATGTATACAGAGTGCCATATGCACATGTAGTCTATGTTCACAGGCATAAAACTAGCAAATGCCTTAAGCTAACATCATACTTACATGGGATTATCCAAGGCAGCAACCCGCTTCAGGACACCAGTCTGTCTTCCCTGATGCTATGGAAGTCACCCATTCTCGTGAAAACCTTTACCAGGCAACTGGCTGTTTTTCTACTCTTCTGTTTCAAAATAGAATGTATAATACAAGTGCAAGACATCTCTTTAGACACTGCTATAAATTAAGTGTAGGAGGGGGGAGAATGGGATAAAGAACCACAGGCATCTAATGTCTTCAGTTGAAGAAGCCGAGTGTCACATTTAGTAGAACCGATGAAGGATTATGAGTTAACAGCACTTTGGGATTTCCCTGAGCAGGGCAACTAACATAGAGGTGCATTTCTGTCTGGTTTATTGGTGGGACAGAGGTTAGAACGCTAAGTCCAGAGCAGGAGATCCAGGCCCTGAGAACCAGACTTGAAGGAGGAAAACACATCGGTTGGCAAATGGGTTGGGATTCAGGAGCAGAGGAACAAGTCATGAAGACACAACCGCCTGACTCTTTGGGAACTGACTTGAGAGCTGAGCAGGCCTGAGCCTTCAAAGAGGTAGACTAGAAGTTGGTGCCACAGTGCATACGACATGAACTAAACACCAAGAAGAGCAAACTGCACTTAACTATGTCTGTGGAGCCAATCCTCGTGACGAAGATCCAAAGAATGCCGTTGGCGGAAACGCAAGAGAAAAACTAGACCCAGAAAAATGCAACATAAATCTATTCGGCAATACCAAACTGGTTTTTTACTAACTTGGAGACTTTTAGTTCTTGAAGCACTAATTATTTGTCTACATTTTTTTTTTTAGTTAGAGCTACGGTTAGAACCATGCTGTACATTATTTTGCAGGACACATGACCCATCACCGTGATATGTTGCCTTTATTTTAATTTTTTCCTTTCCTTAAGGTTGACACAATCTCAAAATTGCTTGCCATGCCAAGCTTGGCAGATCCAGGAGACCTCAGCGTCATCCCGTGGAGCAGAACACCTGCTTTGATTCAGGAGCTCAGACTTTCTAAAGCAGACAGCCTGAGGAAGGGGCCACCAACGTGGCTTTTATGTGTCCCAGGTGATCTTGATGTCACTGAGGGTTGAGCAGCTTTGCCTCATACACTTCAGAGCTAGACTCGAGAGGTCCAGCTGAGCTCTGTGTGCGATGCCAGGGAGACAAAGAGCTCCCTACCCTTCAAGAGTGTGGTGCTCAGAGCTAGACTAGAGAGGTCCAGCTGAGAGCTCTGTGTGCGATGCCAGGGAGACAAAGAGCTCCCTACCAAGAGTGTGGCGCTCAGAGCTAGGCAGGCGCAGAATCAAACCAGTGCTCCAGCCGCCGCTTGGTTGTGGCAGGCCCACAGCAGGTTACTTAATCACACCAAACCTTAGGCTTCCCATACAGGAAATGGGAATAATATCTCCCTTGAAAATGCACTATGAATACTCACCTTCGAGTCCTTCCCAGGGGGCTCTGGTGTCAGGAGCAGTTCAAATGCCTGCTCTAAGGTTCACTGTGTGACTTAAATTTTCTAATTGGTAAAGTGAATACGATTACTTCATAGGATCATTGTAGGAACTCAATGCATTTATACAGCTAGATATGGTGACTCACTCCCACCATCTAAGCACCAGAGAGGAGGAGGCAAGAGGATTAGGAATTTAAGATTATTCTTGTCTATACAGCAAGTCAGAGGCCAGCTTAAATCTAACCTGAGAGACTCTGTAACAACTGACGTTTAGAAGGCTGCCTTGGCCAGGCATGGTGGTATGGCTGTAATCCTAGCACGATTACGAATACAGGCAAACCTTAGCTACACAGAAATACCTTGTCTCAAAAAAGCATGTCACATCGTGCTGGATAAGTGCTATAAGAGTAAACATACAAATAACAATAATAAAATACCTCACATAAATAAAATACCCACATCTAGATTGTAGCAGCTCAATATCTGGTAACATTATTATCGTGATTATAGAAACCTTAAATTGTTTACAATCTACTGTCTTTCTATATTCTAAGTAGCCTCATGAATTTTACCAAAGTTAACTACCCTTGAAAAAGAGATTTATTATTATTGAATGTGTATGATTGTTTGCCTGTGTGTATGCATGTATGTGCACTAGATGTAGGCAATGCTCTTGGAGGTCAGAGAGTGTTAGATCTCCTGGAGCTGGAGTTACAGGTGACAGTGAGTCATGCAACCTCAGGGCTGGATTCTCAGCATCCGCCACCATACCTGACTTACTCATATTTTAAAATATACTAGTGTCCCAGCATGCAAAATACAATGTCACTTCAACTAAATGGATCTTCAGAGAATAAAAATATACGAGGGAGAGGATCTTCAAGTATGAGGACTTGGGGTGATCCCAAGCAAAGCCAGTCAGGCGTGCATGCCTAGAATCCCAGCGTTAGGAGGTAGAGGCAGGAGGATTCTGAGGTGACAAGCCAGTGTATCCCAGACGGTGAGCTTCTGGTTCAGTAAGAAACCCTGTCTCAGGGCCGAGAGGTAGAGAAATAACGATGTAGGACAGCCTTCTTTGGCCTCATCTGCACAAGGATGTGCATACCCGAATACATTCGTGTACCACACACACATAATGAACTTAATCTGATTTTTAAGATATGAATTCAATTTACATTTCAAGGTAGCCTTCAGTGTGAATTACTTCCAAAGAGCTACTTTGCCAAGCCCAGAAGAAAGAAGACAAAATACCAAAAACTTACTTGGAAGGCATTACTCTGTCTGACGGGTTTTGTTTCAACCATTCCTCCTCCCATTACAATCTTCAAGTGACTCCTATGGCCCCCCATTCCTGAGAGAACTCAGTCCTTCGTCCTGTCTAAACCCATTGCCATTATATTATACTTTTAAAAACACCTACCTTTGAGTTAAAAAGTGTTGATGAAATATTTGCATGTTAAATATTCATTTCTGCTTGTGGTTCTGCCCAAACAAACTATACCAGAAAGAATCAGAAGCTGAAAGTTCCCAAAGGGTTTTGTAATAGGGTCTCCTGCCAAGCTCAAACACATCCAGCTTCCCCATTCTTTACTTCTAACTCTGAATTGCTACTGCCTCACAAAACCGCACACATTTGAGGAACTATAAACTGATAAATAATCACACACACACACATTTGTTTGCTTGTTTTGGGCAGGGTATCACGATGTAACTCAGGCTGATCTCAAACTCAGAGATTCACCTGCCTCTGCCTCCCAAGAGCTGGGTTTAAGGCACTGACCACCACAGTGGGCTTAAATATAAACTCGAAAACATTTCCTCACTCTCTTTTCTGAACCTAGAGCATGCTTAGCCTCTGCCAATGAGTTATCTCTGTACTTTTTATCTTGAGATCACTAAACTACTCGGAGTGGCTTTGAATTCTCTAGTTCAGGCAGGCCTTGCACTAGGGATCCTCCTACTTCCGCTGCAATAGCCGAGATTACAAATTGTGTCCCCAGCCGGACCTCTTCTGAAAAATTTAAGAGGCTCCTTTTATATCTTGTTTTATGTCCGCCTTTGGTTACAATGTTCCTGGTTAAGATGGTATCTTTGGGATTGACTTTCTTAATCGAGAATCACAACGTTGCATTTGCTATGTCAAGGACCATAGTCCTAGTTCTCTATAATTTAATATTTCGTGACCAAGCAGTTTAACTTTTCAAGACTAAACAACACCCAAAAAGAGGTATCACAGAAGTATCAAGTCTTTCCAAGTTTCTACCTGTTGCGGGCACATGGTCAGAGGCCCCTTTCCTTCCTCTGTCCCTCCAGCTTTCAGAATGCACGTAACCCCGGTCAGTCCTAGTCCCGACACCCGGCCCTGGGACGCCCCAGAACAAGGCTAAGGGTTTGTTTGGGCGCCCGCGTGGAGCTTGGACACACCTCTTTGCTTTCCAGAGTGAATGAAGCGCTCAAGTAACACCGGACGAGAAAAGAACGGAGTCCAGAATACCAACATCCAAGGCCACCCCGACCACGAACCGCACAAACGGGACGGCTCGACCCTGGCGACCCCGCCCCCTGCCGGCCCGCCTCTCCCCGGCTTCCACGGGTTTCTCCCTCCGCGCGAGGCTCCTCCCCGCCCCCGGCCCCTCCGCCCCGAGCCTTTCCTGTCCCAGACTCTCCCTTCCCCTTTCCTTTTGCGCTTCCGCCCCCGCTTCTCCATCGCCCCTTTTGATTGGCCAAGCGGGCCGGAGCCCGGCCGGCCAATCGGCGAGGCGGGCTGGCGGCGATGGGCGTGGCCGCAGAGCCGGGCCCTCAGATCGAGGCAGCCTCCCCCTCTCAGCCGGCAGCACATTCCGCCGCCGTTGCCGCCGCCACCGGCCCCGCGGTCGTCTTCGCCGGAGCTGCTGTGGTGCCGGGGCTCGGGACAGGAGGGGGCGGCCGGCCGGGGAGTGGAGGCCGCGGAGGCCGGGCGAGAGGAAGGGAGCGGACGGACGGACGGGCGGGCGGCGCAGGCGGCGGCCGGCTTCCTGGGAGCGTCGGTGCGGCGCGGTGGTTGGGGCGGATCCCGCGGGGCCCGGGCGGGGAGGGGGGGGAGAGTCGCCGACCCGGCCATGGCGGACAACGAGAAATTGGACAACCAACGGCTCAAGAATTTCAAGAACAAAGGCCGCGACTTAGAGGTACAGTGAGGTCCGCGGCCTCCGGCCCCGGCGGAACACGGGGTGCGTGCGGAGTCGGGCGGGCGCGGCGGCCGGCATGGCGCTGGGCGGGCGGGCGGGCGGACTGGCGGCCGTGACGCGGGTGCCGCGCCGGGAAGTTTGTGCCGGGCCTGCTCCGCCTCTGCCGGCGACAGCGCCCGGGCCCGCCGGGCGCGGCCTAGGCCTGCCCTGTCGAGCCGGCTAGACGCGGGCACGGGCGGCCGGGGGATCGACCGTGGCGGAGGCTCCGGCTCTGCTCGGGCCCCGACGCCGGGCGTTGCGGGCAGAGGGCAGCGTGGGAGCGAGCGGCGACCTCCGTAACTTCCCCGGGCCTGTGGCTCCTCTACGTGCAGGCGTTTGTTCCTGATCTCCCCGACTTCTCTTTTAACCCCAACGTCCAAACTACAGGAGTCAACTTCTGCGTTGAAAAAGACACCCGCGCCACGAGAGGCGGTCCTGGTGATGCTAACAGTGCCTTCCAGCGGCCTGGCTTTCACTCTGGTCCTAGCTGATTCAAGATATGGCCCCACGGTGTACCCTTTTCCAGGAAAAGGATTCCCCGTATTTGAGCTGCTCCACAAATCTCTACCCCTCTCTTGAGAAGAAACTAGCAGCTGCATTCTTACATAGAAAGTCCAAAGGGTTATCCAGAGCTGTCACCCTCTGGTCTACGGGATCCTTTCCCTCCACCTCTTGGTGGTGGTGGCAGTGGTGGAATCGGGTGGTCTTCGGGTTGACACCATCGCGTAGTTTAAAAGGGGGGAAAGAAGGCTTCATTGTCTTAGACACAGCTGCTTCCAAGATTCGATGTATTAAACACAAGAGATTCTCCCCACTGTGTGTGTGTGTGTGTGTGTGTGTGTGTGTGTGTGTGTGTGTGAGCGCGCGTACGCGCTTCTATGAACCCTTTTCTTCAGCTTTGGGAGTTTTTTTAGGAGCCTGTTTATATTTTCTTTCACACAAACCATTCTGAGTCAAGAGTTTAGCTTTGAAGAGAAAGTGGTAAAATGTCTTACCCCCTATATTTTTGTGACTGATCTTCATGTTGCTGTGGTGTGTTTCTGAACGTGAGCATTTGCCTGATTGAGATAGCAACTTTTGTGCACTTCTTAAAGTGCCATTCAGTCTTTTATCGTACTTTGTGCTGTTTTAGCTGGTTGTACTAGTTAGGACTGCGTGCCCCAGGGTGTGTATGACTGTTTAGAGCGTGTTTGAAGGTCAATACAGCTTATTTTTCTTAATTCTTATAGTAAAAATTTGAAATCTTTTTTTTGTAAATTGATTTCATTCGTAGGGGTATTTTGTCTTCCTTGTATGTATGTGCACCATGTATGTGCCTGGTGTTCAGGGAGGCCAGAGGAGGGTGTCGGATCCCCTGAACCTGGAGTTATAGACAATTGTGAGCTGCCATGTGGGTGCTTGAAGCCAAACCACTGACCCATCTCCTCAGTTTTCAAATTTAGCATCTTTATTAGAATAATTTTACATGTCATAAAAGTCAACTTTTTAAATGTACAATTCATAGTTGTCATTAAATTTACACATGGAACTATGGGGGTTTTTTTTGTACTAATATGAATATTTAGAATAGGTAAAAAGCACAAATTAGGAAACTATAAAACTGATAAATACCCCAAAGTTTAGAAATTCAGAAAAAGTATCATGTAACCAACCAATCTCTTAATTCCTTATTTTTTTCTTCTTCTTTTTTTCTTTTGAGACAGGGTTTCTCTGTGTAACAGCCCTGGTTTGCCTTGGAACTTGCTCTGTAGCCCAGGCTGGCCTCGAACTCAGAGATCCACCTGCCCTCTGCCTCCAGGCCTGACTTCTAATTCCTTTCTTTTGCTATGTATTTTTAACAGGTTCATTGAAATGTGATTCACATAACACTCAGTTCACCAATATAAAGTGGTTTTTAATATGCTCACATAGTTGTGCAGTCAGCACCAAAGTTACTTAGGATTTTTGCTACTCTTTAAAGAACCCTGACATAGTCGATAGTAGTGATCCTCTTTCTCAGCCACTCCAGGCCAAAAAGCAGTGTTTCATTTGCTCATTCTGAATGACTCATGTAAACAGAATGTACATTTTATGATACTTTGTGGCTACCTACCTTGAAGGTTCATCCATACTATATCAAGAATATTTCATAGGGTTGAATAATATTTCTGTATATAGTTAGATCAGCTTGTGCGTATGCGTTCATCTTCATGGACATATCATTAACCTTGTTAGTTACATACGGATATGAGCATTTATGTACACATTTTTATGTGACAGTTTTATTTCTTTTGGTTACAAATAAAGAAAGAGATGCTAGGTGATATGAAATGTTAGATTTTTTTTGTAGGGTTGCCAGACTTACTTTCTCCCCTTCTACCCCTTTCACCCCTCCCTCTTGTTCTTTTAGTTTGGACAGGGTCTCACTATGTAGCTATAGCCCAGGAAAGCCTTACACTCTCAATTCTTCTCCCTCATCCTCCTGAATGATAAAATTACAGGTATGTGCCACCATGTCCAACCTGCCACAATGTTGTATTTTTTTTATTTTGTGCTTGGTCATCCCTGCTGCCCTCCCAGCTGGGATGCAGGCATATGGCACCTTGCCCTGCTTTAAAATTATTCTTTAAAAAAAATGTAGCCTTACTATGTTTTTCCTGCCACTGTAGTCTCTAAAAGATTAAATAATGAATCTACTTGGCTACTATAATAGGAAGTTTAAAACTAAATATAAAAGCATATTAGGGGGGATGGAGAGATGGCTCAGTGGTTAAGAGCATTGCCTGCTCTTCCAAAGGTCTTGAGTTCAATTCCCGGCAACCACATGGTGGCTCACAACCATCTGTAATGAGGTCTGGTGCCCTCTTCAGACATACACACAGAATATTGTATACATAATAAATAAATATTTTTTAAAAAAAGAGTGGAAGCCGGGCGATGGTGGCACACGCCTTTAACCCCAGCACTGGGGAGGCAGAGGCAGGTGGATCTCTGTGAGTTCGAGGCCAGCCTGGTCTACAGAGCTAGTTCCAGGACAGGCTCCAAAGCCACAGAGAAACCCTGTCTCGAAAAATAAAATAAAATAAAAAAATATAAAAAATAAAAAAAGTGGAAATTTTTAAAAACGCATATAAGCATATTTGGGGATCATAATATCTGTATCTACTCTTTGATGACTGAATCCATGTATATGTATTAGAAATTAGAATATTTTCATTTTTCCATCAACAAATCTGATTAAGTAAAAATTTTACTTTTATGACTTGCTCAAAATCACCTAAGTGGATGTCGTTCAGTGGTGAATTATGGCATTATGAGGCTGCCCAGTACGCAAAAGAAAGCAAAAAGCTTCTAAAATCATGTGCACTTATAATGACACAAAGACATCTTTTATTACTTTTAGAACACAAGTCTATTACTTGTATTTGCCACTTATATGCTTTTATTTCTCCAAAACATGTATGTGCACTTTCTCCTCCTCCAGATATAGTTACTGCCTTGTGTTACATATGTACTGTATGTAGAATGTAACAAATATTAAGAAATTACTGCTTTTTTGGTTTGATCTTAATATTTATGTTTTGAGGGAGGCAAAGCTATTGCCGTACAACGATTATTAGCCCAGGATATCCTAAATGTCATCTTAACATTAGTCTGTGCCTAAAAAATGAAATAGTTCACATGATTTTTTTTCCTACATTTTCAAATTCCATTTTACCATCACAGTATTTCTCTGTTTACACCAGCTGTATCTTAAGTGTTTAATAGTCTCAGACAGCTGGTAGCTACCTTATTAGACAGTGTATGTGTAAATATACAACAGCATATACAGTGAGATAGTTGTTATATTTGAGGAAGAGGTTGATTAGAAATAATTAGTATAAAATCTGACAACTTAATTTAATATTACCTGGTCTCTAACTGTGTGTGACCTTGGAAGAATCATTCAAGTCTTAGGATTCTTTTCATCTACAAAACTGGCAGTACTAGACATTTGCTTCATGAATGTTGTGGACATTGGTACATTAGTGTTAGTGAGATGCTGACAACTCGCTGAACAATTTATCTTTTTTGTTGAAGGAAGAGGGGAGAGTCTACTATGTGTAGATCCAGTGTGGTTGGATCTCTTGCTCCCTTATTTGCTGTGTGTGGTTTTTATGTTTTTTTCTGTGTCTATATCACATGTTACTCTGCGCTTTGCTCCCTTATTTGCTGTGTGTGGTTTTTATGGTTTTTCTGTGTCTATATCACATGTTACTCTGCGCTTTGTGTCACATTAAAGAGTTAATGGGGAATTGCTTGTTGGAGGACAATTTGGGCACAATGATGTGACTTCTGAAGTCATAATTTTATGATTCATAAATTTCTATCTAATATTCACTAGTACGTTTTGGTATATCATTCTGACTCCTCCAAAAATACAGCCATGCTTTCTTGAAAGTACAGAAGTCAAAGGAAGTCTCTGTATCTATTTGAAATAATGTTAAAGGAGTTATCAGATGATGTCCACAAAACTCGACCTCTTCCTGTAGTGTGCTGGAGGATCGTCTAGTACCAGTTTGAGAGTAGAACAGAGAAGGCTGCCCATACACAGCATAATGTAGGAATGGGTAGTGACCACACTGTCAGTGAGGTTTGCCAGGCACAAACAAGTTAAGCTCTTCTACTTAGAGAGGGTTGTTTTGTAACATTTCTAATAAACTTTCAAAGCTTTTATAAAAATTCTAAAAGTTTGCAGGTTCAAATAGAGTATAACTATGTTAGAAAAGTAATTAGATCTTGGAAAACAACTTTTACTAATTATGATATTTTACACAATTTTGAGTATAAAATATGAAGAAGTAACAGTGATGGGCTGTTTCGTTTTGGGAAATAGCCTTGTTGACTCAAAGTATACAGAGTGAAAAACATTGCTAAGCTATTAAGTCTTAGTAACTTTAGAGACTGACTTCTCTCATCACAAATCTTGGAACATATTTACT